TAAAAAAAAAATCTTAAAAGGAAGAATAGTTAATTTGAATGTTCTACAATTCTTTGCGATATTGCACGAAAAAGCAACTTTGTCTGGACATTAGCCAGTTTTATACTCCACGCGAAAACTCGCTCTTGTGATCAATTGCTCATTTATTTCTTGCTTCTATTCGTCGCATTTTTCAAATTGCTATGACTTTCTTGTATGCTACAAATAGAAGTCAACAATATGCGCGTGGAAATATCATCTAAGTAGGGAAATAATTACATAATTGCATAAACAGAGTGTTTCTTTATTTCTTCTTACAAATAATTTTAAATATTGATTTCTTTTGCCAAGCTGAAAATAAATAATTTAACCATTTATATGAATAGAAACAATTATATATTTATAAATTTTGCAAAACATTGAGTCTTCTATAAACATTCAAACATGAGTTATAAATTAATTGCACAAATACACAATAAAAAGTTTATTTGTGAGTAAATATAAATCTTTTTTGGGAGAAAATTAAATTTCTTCGAGGTGTAGAAAACATGTTATTACTTAAGTAGTATAAGTCTGCGATGCCGCATTCGTTTCGCATTCGTTTTTTGGTTGTCATATATTAAAGAGCCAGAAGTTGAAGTGGGATATCCATTTTATTGATTACAAGGAGAAGACATCGGCGGTATGTTTGGTTCTGGGTTTGGTTAATGGAGAGGGAGATCCAATTCGATGGTTGGATGTAGTAGATATAAAAGTATGCCCCCTCGAACGACCAATATCGCTTGTTGGCGATTTCCAGGCGAATAGAAATGCTCAGAAATATGCGCGTAACGGATGTCCGAAGTACCATTCATGGCGGATCTACTTATCTCATTTCGGCTTGTAGATAGAAAATTCATTCAGATCGATAACAATATCGATCGACTTCATAATTATCGTGGCTTTCCTTCTTGTAAACTCAAATGACTGTACTCATTTTTATTTACTTTTTCTTCTTCAAAATAAGATGTTCTTATTATTACGAGAGAAGGCCATCCATTATCGATGTATTTAATTAATTCTTGATTCCATATTAAATTTTGTTTTTAAATAGAGGGGGGGGGGGAGGAGCATGAAAAAGAAGAAATAATTTTATAGTAATTATTTTATATTGAATAATATTCAAAAATAATACTACGGTTTTATAAAAAATTGCTTAGAAAAAAGTAAAATTTAAATTTAAAATAAGCATCATAAGAAATAACTACTTTAAATCTTAAAAAATTGTTTCATACATTCAAGATATTAAATTTACATAATCATTTGGATTAGTCATATATTAGTCGATTCTATTTATTTATGACCAATAATATTCAAATATCACTGAAAAGAAGAATGATGAATAAAAAAGACATATTCTGAAAAGGAATTGTCTGATAAGATCGAGCATTAATTCTATCATGAATGATTGTTTCTGATATCACATTAAAACAGATCTCAGTTTTTAATAACTAATTAGTCTTGTTTATTAATCATAATTTTACAATTTATTCAGATTTATTTTTAAATTAATGTGATATAAAGTAAATAAATTTTTTATAATATTTCTCCATCTTTCTAAATCTTTAGAAGATCTCCAAATAATTAGTATTTGGAGAATATTTGTTTATTAGAAATTTCAAAGTACATACATATATTTAAGTTTGTTGTATTTGTATGAAATATGGAGTTTCATCTCTATGGAGTAATGGAAAATATATATTCTTGCTTATAATATGAGAAATACAAGATCAATTTTGTTTTTTTATTTCAGGCGAACTTTGTCGCCCACTTAATTGCAAGAAAAAGGAACTTTGCCTCTTGGAGGATACTTTCACAGCTGTCTGCGTCTCGAAGAAGGAGCTTCATAAATCAGGGTAAATATCGAATATTTGTTTGTTTTTTATATCTTCTAATAGATTGATGTTTCGAGATGAAATACATTTGCAGTTAGACTTAAATTAACGTTACAAAAATACGTTTTAATTTAATTTGCAATATTTTCTACACGGAAAAATAAATATTTTACATAATTAATAATAAAAATTTTATATAATATAACATTGCTTATTATTTGTAACGAGGACAGTATCTGGAAACTTCTAGCAAATTTCTATCAAATTTATGACAATGAATAATTAATAGATATATTATAAAAATATATATTCTATATACTAAAAATTTGAAATATTGAATAAATTGTTTTATTTTGTTATTTGTCATCAACATTATGTATTTTGTATTATATATTATTATCTGGCTTCATTAAATGAAATGTGAAGTTAAGGTGAAGTATCGATATTTAATTAATATTGGAAGCAGGCTATCAATATTTCCAAACTATTGGATTCTAAAACATTCACAATTTCGGAATATTTCAATAAGAACATGTGATATGACATGTAACACATAATTCAATAAAAAATAAATCTTGCAATCTATTACTATAAAATAATAGATAGAAAATAGATAGATACATACGCGATACATACGATTACAATTACGGAATGTAAAAACGTGACGAATCTTCTTTCTGTTGTTCCGCTCGGAATTTATCATTTATTATAGCTTTTATAGTACTTAAAGTGCTTCGGTCTTTATTTGAATAAAATATACCAGAAATATCTATCTATCTCTTAGAATCTCTTAGAAGAAAGATTCTCATTGTGCAGCGATGCGTCGCGGAGCAAATTAATTCGTCGCAAACGATGCGCATAGTGCGCGGAAATCATCAATTTTAGATCGCCGCGCAAGTGGCGATCTTCGGTAAGCGCTCTCTCTCCCTGCTCGTCTCATCTCTCTGGTGACCTGGTCAAAAATGGTGACGCGTCAATTTTCGCAGGGGGAGTCAAATAATCGAAATTCTCAACGTTTGTTGAGACACCACCGACGCGACGTTGGCATTTAAACAACGCTGATATTAACGACGATATCGAATCGCCACAAAACGGCATTAAACCACTGACCGACCGAAGCCGTCTCGGTAATCACCGATTCCCCGCGCGGTGCTTATTGCCAATTAACTGTAATTGGACATTTCCACAGGCGATATATGCGCGCATACATATCCCGCGTCCGGATACCTCGATCGGTGGTATTCATCTTGAAACACCCGTACGACATTAAATGACCTTAATGCGTCATTAACGGCTAAGCAGCCCGATGGGCCTCGATAAATCGATACTCCCGTTCGAGATTAATTTGGTGATGCGTACCATCATATGCGTATTATTACTGATCGGCGCAGGTTTCACTTTCATGCATCACGATCCTGCTTTCACATTCGATCAAATCTGTGATACAAAAGTTTTGCGTCCAAAAACAATGTGTCAGCGATATTTATATACATAGATGTAATTTAATCCATCTTATAGTAATGTTCTAATTAATAAATAGAAAATAAATGCGAAAATGCGAAAATTATTAAATTATGCCAAAGACTGTGACTAGTCAAAGATTTGTAAATATACGTTATACTAGTTAATTAAAAAAATTATGTTTATTACTTCCTTATGGATTTACTTCAGAGAAAGTAACAATATTTGCCTAACGAATATGAATATCAATGTTTTTCTAATTTTATCTATGCAAGATATGTTTTATCATCGTAATAAATGAGAAAAAAAATTGGATGGAGAAAAAATTAAATCAAAAACTTTTTGATTAACATTTTTGAAATATATTTGTATTTAATATATAAAAATACCATATTGATTACTGTAATCTCATATTGGAAATTTTGAAATTTGATATTTCGATTTTTTCTTCTACGTAATGTTTAAAAGTATCGTGATTTTTCCAAGGCATAAAAGCATAAAAGTGATCACACCACGTTAAATAATCACGAAAGATAACTTTTGACGGACTCGCCGCTGTAAATGTGATTACATCGTCTCGCAGCCGCGGACAGAAAAAGTAATAGCACGATAATGAAACGAGAAACTGTATCTACCAAGTAGACATAGTTTCTTTAGTAACAAATCAAGAACAGAAAAAACACTAAATTCTCGTACATTTTACTTGATTGCGCTAAAGCGGTGGCCGTGTCGTCAATCTGTTGACGAACGTCAGAGTGAAACTCGGGATTTAGAATCACGCGCCGCTTGAATTCCGGTAGAAGTTTAACACGCGGTAACGTAATTCGAATAATGGTCATTTAATTTTTGTTCCGTATAAAGCTAATTCGCGCTTCGCGCCTGTAATTTCTGGGGCGTGGTATCTCCAGTGCCTCGGCAGAGTTGTAGGACAAGAAACTTCATAACGAGCATTAATTCATCGAATAAAGTAGATTCTATGCAAATCGCACGCGTCGAATTGCTCTTCCAAGTTTTTCAGGCTCGAAATAGAACAACTAAAAATAGAATTTTTAAGTTGGACCATCAACCTTATGTTGTACCTTATGTTCTTACACAAAAAAAATCTGTTCTATAGTTTATTAACTATTCCAAGACTTTTACATCGAACAAGAGAGATAGGAGCAAAATTATTATTATATCCACGATACAGAAGGAAATTTTTACATTTTCTCGATATTTAATAATATCTTGTAATAATATTCCTATAGTTAAAAAGTAACTTACAAGCTTATATTATCTATTTGTATCAAAACAACTCTATATATATCTACTTTGAATAATTATTATCTCTTATTTTTAAATAGAATAGTACAATGAAATATTGCGAAATAGATGACTTTTGCCAAGTAAAAGTGAAGTGAAGTTACTCATTTAAAGCATAATGAATTTTTTATGCTACAACTAAATGCTGTATTAATTGTAGATTATACAAATGCGATTTTCAGGGACATAGTAATTCCGAAATCTCGTGCAATTCAACAGCGACGGATGAGGACCGAAACCTCGGTCGATTCTGACGACGATGACGCCTTCTTTGATTCCGAGGACGATGACGACGATCAAGATGAATCAAAGTAAGTGACAATAGATTTCACTATCCACCGTTTAATCTCGTTGCACGGATTTACTTTAAATCTTCGATTAAAATGTAAAGTTTCTCCGAGATATTGGCACACGTTCGTCTGTTTCAGAATCTCAAAATTCCACCGAAAAGACCTTATTTTCTAAATTTTTTAAATTCGTATTTTTTTAAAATCGTATTTTTTATCTTTTTGTTATTTATTTATTTGATCAACTTTTGATCACAATTAGTGTTTAAAACATACATTCATTTCCATAAGCCTGCTGAATATAAGCAATTTTTAAATTTTTGAGAAGATTCCTCAAGAATATTCGGAACTTTACAACAACGTTTTTCTGGATGATATTCCGAGTAGATGCCATAGACACGAGATTATTAATATTAGTATAAAGACGAGCGGTAAGAATAAGACCTTGATCCTTATGCGGACTGCAGACGGTTCTTGAATACTTCCGGAAACTTCATTTGGAAAAGCCGCATTGCACGCGCGCGCGCGCGTACCTCTGTTTAATACGACGGGCAAAGTTTCAGGAAAAATTAGTTCCGGAGGTAACGTTGCGCTCGGAAAATGCGCCACAGCTCGTGTTTATATTTCGCAAGCCACGTCAAACGGGCATTATCAGCTCGTGCACGAACCGCACGAACTTTAAACGCGGCTTCTCCGTGGAAAGAAAATTTCCCGAGCGGAATTGAGAATTTCATTTTGCAATGTAATCCTTTACATCGATACATACATACATACATACATACATACATACATACATACATACATACATACATACATACGTACGTACGTACGTACGTGGGTAGGTGGGTGTGTGTGTGTGTGTGTGTGTGTGTGTGTGTGTGTGTGTGTGTGTGTGTGTGTGTGTGTGTGTGTGTGTGTGTGTGTGTGTGTGTGTGTGTGTGTGTGTGTG